CTTAAGTAGCCTAGTTGATGATCGTCGTAATTAATCAACTAACTAACTAAACTATTATAGATAATACCAAAAATCTACACGATGCGTTCTTTGTTGCATCGTAGTCGTTTTTTCTCATTTATTACATATTGTTTTTAAGTCAATAGCTCCGTCAGTATTGCAGACGAAAAAACTTAGTGCAAGATAATTTTAATTATTTTTACCAGCTCTCAAATTCAGGACCATCAAATTAAGCCTCTTTAAAGTGAGCAACGTACCTTCGCACCTATGTACCTAATTTCTCGCATGTTGGCAACACTGTCATGAACTTACTACACTCCGCACCCCCATAGCTTGCCCTTCTCGTCTACCCTTAGCCAAATGCGGTACGATTTTTGGCTGGAGTAAGGTAATTGCCGTCTAACCTTTCACCAAACTGAGATCCATCCCTCTTCTTGCGGTTTGCGTGTTTCTAAATTCATCGCTGAAAAGACTTTTCACGTCATAACATCCCTCTTTTCAGCAACATCAGTGAAGCGGGGGACGGTAATTGCAACCTGCTCCACTTATGTGAGTTTTGAGATCGTGGATTATAAGTCAGGAGAAGGGGATTTTTCATCGACAAGCGACACACATAAACGTTGTAAGTGGAGGATGAGCATGATTGTACCCTTAAAAGTTCTTCTCTTGATGTATTGTACTAAGCTCAAAGTTAACCCTCAATTTTGTAAAACCTTCCGTCACTTTTTCTCTGTTATATCTCCTTTCTAGTCGCCTTCTCTTCTCATAACTTGATTTTAAAATGAGTTCAAATTGTATCTCTAAAAAAGAGAGGGTATGCATTTTTTAATAAAAATTATGTTCCCTTCAGATTTTTCTGAGATTAAAACTTGTCCCCCGATCAGGGTGTCTGCGCGTCTGACGTGACGAAAAAACCCAAAATCGTCAGATAATTTCATCATGTCAGGGGAATCAAAGAAAAATCAGGGAAGTTTTTGAAAACTTGTCACAGAGTTCCATTATTTTTATTTCGGAAAACCTAAAAAAGGCAGGGACTTCCTCCACCGAGTCTGTAGATGCCATGTTGGTGGCTCATTTAGAATTCAGAGTGAGAATTACAAAGCAGTTGCTATTTTTGATGCGAAGTGTCACATAAAACGTCAATTTGAAATTCCACGAGTGCTCAAGTATTTACTTCTGTGCCCTCTTGAGCAAGACATTTGGGGGTTAAGGAGGGGTCAATCCAACCTCCCAAGCCCTTAATTTACACTATTTCTTTCAAAATGTTTCGCCAAGCGTTCTCCCAAAGTTGCACTCGGATTCCGAGGAAAATTTGTGACGATCGATTTGATTCTCTGAATCAGAAAATGAGAACTTTTCGGAAGAAGAGTTAATGAGCTTTGGAGAGAATTCATTCCGAGAGTGTTCGAAGCTTTATATTTCCCTCTCTCTTTGTTCTTGCACAAGCTTGCGATCAAAAGAAGGGTTTCTGAGAATGGTTACCTACGAGCATTTCTTCAGAATAATAACAAAGAATCAAATTCCCGGTGCGTTCATAAGCTGATTTTAAATATTTCACCTCGTTAATTTGCTCAGTGTTTCATATATTATCAAATCTGTTTCCGGTGAAAGCCCTAAATGGCGGGTGAAGTCCTGATGAAACTCAAAGCATGTTCTTCAGAGTAGGTTTCTTTCAAAGTAAATTAAGGTGAACTTGGACCCACCTGTTGGGGAAAACTTTCTCTCGCGCCGCGTGGCGTGCTATCTGAGACAGCGTATTTTAGAGATCTTACGCTAGCAATCTAAGCAATATAATCGGATGCCGCAAAGGTTAAATTCGAAAATCACCGTTATTTCACGCCTCACGATTATTATAAACACTTTATTAAACAATACATAAAAAAAAAAAATTGCCTAGTGATGACTGATGTATGTCGGGGTAATCATTTTGCAAGACGCGTCTCTGGAAATTAGGATAGGATTGCGAAACCAACTGCTCAAATCTTTGATCAATCAGTCATCATCAGACGAATCTAAGCGTTGACTGAAAATGGATCCAGCACTAATAGAACGATAAACCCGTTCTGAACAAACGGGAGGTGATGATTTTCCTCTGAACTCCTTTATGCAACGAAAAACGCCTTCAATATTTCTGACGCAACCAACTCTTACTCCCGCGTTCGATAAGTTGCTTGCAGACGCCTGTTCATTCGCAATGCTGCCGCGCTCCCGAAGAACGCTGTGAGTTCGACAGTGAAGTTTTGAGAAAATGGACTTGTCGGCTACTGTTTGAGCGGGAAAGTTCCTCGTGACCTTGGGTTCCTCTTGACGGTTATCCATCACATCACTCTCATTTTACGCCTTTGTGCATCTCTCGTCTATCTCTCGGTAAAATTCAATTTTATACATAGAAATGTATTTTCCTAGAGATTTTTTTACTTTTGTTTTTTTTCTTATATATATTTGCGTCTTTATACTTACGTAGAATCGCACGAGAATTTCATATCTGCATTGAAATTTGATGAAAATTGCTCTCTTTCCCGCCCTTCGAAGTTAGAAAAAAAGAGCAGGAGGTTGTTGGATTATTGATTATGGAGGTTGTTGGAATTAATTGTGGTATAGTACCTCAATTGGACTGCATTTTGCAATTTGGAGCTATAAATTCTGGCTCATCTGAAAAAATACTTACGTGCATAGGGAAACTAATGGCACATACGTTGTTTTTAAACCGGGCCGGAATTTATAGCTCCAAATTGCAAAATGTAGTCCAATTAGTAGTGGTAACACATCAATAAATGAGTTTACTGGCCCAAATGTTGCAGCACCACCCCAACTTAAGTTGCGGCACTACCAGAATCAATAATTGGAAATGCCTATCTAACCCAAAAAATTGGGGTAGTACCACAATTTCAGAGGATATACCCTCACATTTTTTCGTGGTGAGAGCGACAGCTGTTATCTTTTCCTGAAACCCGAAAAAAACTTGGTCGGAGTAAGAAGTGCTGTCATGACGTCACTATTAAAAGAGTCCGCTCCCATTAAGACGGCGGCAGAGGAAGGTCGAGGATTTGTCGCATCGTCAGGGCCGT